ATAATTAAAATTTCCCGATTAATAAAATCCTAATTAATTTCCAAATTTTCATCCAAAAATTAAAACACAATTCGGGCGAAAATATTTAAAAAAACAACAATTTTAATAAAATATTTTACTTAATTCGTAAGACACTAAATATTAGAAAACTTTCTTAAAAGAAAAACCCTAATTTCCTAATTATTATTTCAGCCGGAAAGAAAAAGACACATAAAAACAAGTAATATACCTTAATAAGTTTTAGGAAACTCCTTTAATTACCCTACTATTATTTAGGTACCTCTCACATAAAATAGCAATTTTCCCTTTCAGCTATTTCCTAAAAAGAAAATCGGCACACACACATTCACACAAGCAAAAATTTCTTTTCCCACTCAAAATAGAAATTAAAATTTCGGCCACTTCACAATTAAGTAACTCTTGAAATTATTCAATTAAAATCAAGGCCAAAAACTTTTAGTTAAATACTAAAAATCCTCTTTCAATCATGTAATTGAAACTCAAAAATATTAATCATGCAATAGCTTTCATTGAGTTTTTCTGTGAATCCCGCCAGTCAAAGTTAGGGAATGGACAAATATTTGGGCAAAACAATTTCTTCAAAGAGTCAATATTTTATATATTCTGGAGGGAATCTATAAATTGATTGCTTAAAAACCATAAAAGAATAAAGAAAATATTAAAAATGATAGAAAATCATGTATTTATGACCTTGTCGACTTTATCATCGACTTAGCAAGATTGACGCGGTTAATTTTCTTTAAAATCTAATAATTTTTTGAGTTTATATTAATATTGATACCTTGATCAGTTAAATATTATAGTATATAATTATTTAAAATCATGATACATAATGGAGTTTATAATCTTCATCAGCGGAAGCAGCTATTCTATCTCCAATAGAGGAAGGCCGGAGGGAGTCTCCGATGACCACCGGAGAACGGGAAAACCCTCAAATCTCGCAAACTCCTTCAAAATCGCAACCGATTTGCGTTCCTGCTGCAGCTATTCGAGATGCACAACCTACGCTTCCAAGCCAATCCACTCCGGATCTCCCTGAAATCTCGCACCTTCTTTCCAAATTGCAACCAAGTTCCGTGCCTACTGTGACTATTAGAGAGGCACAATCAACACCTCTAAGCCAATCCAGGCCGGATCTTCAAATTTCAAACGGAAAACAATCGCAATCAATAGGATAATCTCTATGCAATCTTGCAGCAAGTGCTCCCGAAATCAATGTTCCTGTAATCTCGGAATCACTGCCCTCGAATTCTGAAGAAGTATCTCTAAAAAACAACTCTGTCAGTAGCACAACAAAAAAATTGAATCCCAATGCCGCAAAATTCTCCTCTTCTTCCCAATCACAAGTACCTATTTTACAAGTTTTGCTTCCAATCCCAGGCCATGCCATAGAGAAATCGCAAGAACAATATCTCTCCAAGGATGATACGTATGTTGGAAAAAATAGTGGGTCTTTTACTACAAATCTCTCAATTGATCTGGTCAATTCGAAAGGTGAACCAAATCAAGACTCCAATTTTTCAGAAGAAGAAACTAAAATAGAACTGGCAATGGAACGAGAATCTTTCTACATGAAAAGTAAGGGAAAGGCTAATGTTAGAATCCGTTGTTCTTCTAGAATAAACAAGGAAACAAATTTTGTGTAATTTTACATAGGGTTTAGTATATTCGTTGCCCTATTTTTTTTCCTCATGTTTAAATAAAGTTACTTATTTAAAAAAAACAAAAAAAAATATAATAGAGTTTATATTTCGTTGACTTTTTTCGTAAACTGTCTCCGTTAAATGTTGAATAGACGAACAAGTTGACAAAACAATTTCTGCAATGAATCAATATTTTATATCTTCGATAGTGAATCCATAAATTTATTTCTTAAAAATCATAAAATAATAATAAAAATATTGAAAATGATAGAAAATAATATATTTCTGACCTTGTCGACTTTCTCATTGAGGTAACAAGATGGATGGAAAATTCGACGTGAATAATTTTCCTTAAAACAAGTTTTTGAGTTTTATTTTAATGTGGATACCTTAATGGGTCAAACAATAGTGCGATTCTTGTAGCACGTTGCTCAATCAATTCTTCTTTGAATTATGTTATTTCATTCTTATTTGTTACGGTAATAATTAAGTAAACTTAAATAGAAGAAGAAGTGATTTTGTGCTAACTAATTTACGTAATTACATCAGATTACTCTAATATTCTAAAATAATATACGGTAATAAAAGAAATTATAGTAAAATCTCTCTAAATTAATAGTCTTGGGTCCCCAAAATTTATTAATTTATCAAGTTATTAATTTATCGGACCCCCAAAATTTGCTAATTTATTGAGTTATTAATTTATCGGTAAATTAATAATTATTATTTTGAAGAGTTTTTCAATGCTAATAAGGAATAATCTTTGCCAAGAAGAAAAGAAAATTCAATTATAAATATGGACTTCTAACTTTATTAATACGGTATTAGGGTTCTCTTTGTATGGCTGCAAATTTTGAATCTCCAAAAAAGAAGCACTAAAGGCAATAACAACTGTTTATAATTTTTTGTTTCAGTATGACAAAGAGACACCGAAACTTTTGAATGCATTGAGAAAGATCAAAGATGATATCTCCATAGATATAAATTTTAAGAAAAAACAAAGATCAATAGATTCATATTTTTATTAAAAATTGTTAGTTTTTGTTTAGGTAATTATTAATTTATGAAAATGTGGGGATCAATATTTACATAGAAGATTCTTGAAATTTTATTATCTTATAAATTAATCGAGTTTTTTAATTTTTTGTACTGGTCCAGAGTTGGAACCGGTAAAAATTATTATTTAATAGATGTTATAAATTTATAGAGGATTAATTTAGAGAGGTTTTACTGTATATGGAATGTTAATAATTTCATTGAAACATGGTAACCAAATTACAAACTATTTAATACGCCGAAATGAAAATTAAGCTACAACTTGTTGGGATGAAAACAAACACTTAATCATGTTTCTGTCCGATGTTATATTAACATAGTATTAGTATTATATATCTAATTGTTGAACAATTTGTAAGATTTATATGTTTGAAATCCACATGAAAATATTATACAATGTGCAGAGATAGTTTGAGGTATGCAATTCATTTTGGGAATTGAATGACAATTTAGTGGTTAGGGTGTTGTCTTTTTTTATAATAGATTAGGGCTCAATTCCCATCAGGGATTTGTAGGGGGGTTTACCCACAATTAAGTGGGGTCTATTGGGGTGGATTTTTTTTTTTTGTTTTTTTTAAAAAAAGGTATGCAATTCATTTTTTTTCACCCCAAATTGTCACTTCCAGTAGTCGCAGTTCGTTTTAACGTTTAAAATTGAACATGTACGTGCCCATGCATGCCCATGACCCATCTACATAATGTACAAAGGATTCCAGTGCATTGTATGAATTTCCCTTCACTTATTCCAAATATTTACGGAAAAAAGGAGATTACTATAGGAGAACACAACAATTTTAATTGGTAACATAGAAGATTCAACAACATCTTACGAGATTTCTAGCTATCTGAAGCGAAGTTTTCAGTATAATTTAAACTAAAAGTGAAAATCTAAACTGATATTTATAGATAATCATGGTACTTCGTGGGCACAGAAACTCATAGTCGATAGCTCCGTACCAAAGAAATCAAAGTTACAAGTAGAAACTAAACCAACCGTAACTGGAAAAGAAGAGGAAACCGTCAGCCGCCAGAGACACTCGTGACGCAAGTTTACCAAACGAAACCAACACCCCCAATCCAATCCGTAATTGGGTCATGGGCAAACTCCTCTGTTTTCTCTTCTTGGACAGTTGAGCTGCGATCTTCAACTCTTCTTTGACCTTGGCAACATTATTAATCTCAATCTCATTATCAAGCAGATGATCAGACAATTTTGGCAATGGCTAACTAACTTACTACTTAGAATATTTTACTGATTCTTAATAATGGTTTTATGGGTTTAAGAAAGAAAGATGAAGGGGGTAGAATGAAAAAAAAAAAGAAAAAAAGAACAATACAGGGAGCGAGAGAACAGGGGAAAAAGAGTAAAAAATTGGGATAAGAGTGAACACTACAATAAAAGGAGGGAAGTTCCAATTAATATATACCAAATTTTGATTCAGAATATATTTACAAGTATCCATGAAAACAACCAAACTGTTCACCGATTAAAAAACCGTGGGAGCCTTTTTTTTTTTTTTTACCCAATAGTCTTTTTCCCATCTTCTTTGTCATAATACGCAATGTCCTTTTGTAAACAGTAAATATTGTGAAAACAGTTCCGTAGGTACTTGAGAACTCAGAATCAGCTCCGTATGCTTTACATTAGCACGCGATGACCAAAAAAACATGAGAACAAAGATTGAACTCTGAAAAGGCTATAAATGATGATTGATGACCTCTTTGAAACTTGAATGGGTATTATTCTCACAGTTCTAAAATTATAATTGTACTAAAAATAAATTTCCAAACTAATTAGACAATAATTTCAGGACTGCGTTGTGGGATCATAGAGTAATAATGGATGTTTTGTGCATTGTGTTCGCTTATTATACATGAAAAACGAGTGCCTCCCTTCCTTTATTAACTTCTATAACTTTTTCAATCTTCATGCCTTTCTTACATTGTTGGTTAACTTTTCTTTTTCGTCTTTCTCACTTCTTAGAGTTTGCAAGTTAATTAAGAGTGAATATTTTAGTTTTGATTTTGTTTATCGTAGAAAAAGTTACATAATTCCAGAAGACGGATTTTTATTTGCTCATTCGAGGGTCAAAATATATAATCTACTTAGAGAGTAGAGACACATAACTTACACTGTTACACATATAAAATAGCGATTGGAAATCCAGACTTGACATGACGTCACAAAATGATCGCTATCTAACAAAAAAAAAACAAGGAAGAAGAAGAAACAAGAGGAACAACAGACAGAGAGAGAGACAACCAAAATGCATGTTATTACTACTTGATGATAATTGGCTTCTCCTCAGTGTCGCCATCGCCATAGGCTTCTTTACTAGTTTCGCCTGATTGAGAGGCCGGAAATCCTCTGATAATAATAACTTTGAACACAACCCTCGTGTTGCTAGCTTCCATGAGCTCGAAAAAACAACAATCTCCGACTTTCAATTCATTATCAACCACAAACTGCCTCCATCCAAATTTTTTTTGGCCATTAAAAGTTTTATGAGTCGTCGTATTCCAGCGCTTGCCATGAGAGGTAAGGACAACCGGGGCCGTCGAAGATGGCAGTTCTGATTTAATCTTGGCCGGGATGTACTACACAGAAATCAAAAAGAGTTGGAGATTCAGAAGTTCAAATTTCACCGTTTACCCCGATGAAACAAATATGCGCAGATACAGTATAGTTTTTTTTTTTTTTTTCTAACTAATGTTACCCTAACGAAATAAATTAACAATGGAGAACAGATTTTAATTACCACTATGGAATAATGGCCAACGTTTGTGCTTCTGAGAATTAAATCAAAATAGGGTTTTGTCCCAGAGAGCGTATAGTTTTCAATATCATCTGCTTCGGCGTTTGATTCGGGCATAAGTTTCTCTTCCTTTTCTTCCTCGAGAGTCAAAGGCTCTTCTTCAAAATCAATAACCTTGGCATGAACGCCACAAACCTCATCATCATTAACTTGTTGAACCAAAGGATCAGACATTTTAGGCCAATCCCACTGAAGATCGAATACAATGAAACAAGGAGCAAGGAAGAAAGAGGAGCTAGCCAAAAAGCTTCGTTCTGTCTTCAATTCTCAATCGCTTGGCTTCTGAGAAGTTTTGTGTGGCTAAGACTAAGAGTGTGGGATCGGCAAAGGCAAACAAAATAGTGAGACTTTTCACTTTCAATAGGAGAATATATAAGGAAAAAAAAAGAGGAGCCAAAAAGATTGCATACCGCAGGTCAATTCTGGAGTAAAAGGGTTGTGATCGAGTCTCACGTCCTTATCATATATAGGTGAAGAGGCCGAATTGAACTAAAGCCTATTAGACTTAGATTAGGTTATTTAGAGGTTTAGCTACCGTCTAAAACTATTACTACCCGATCAACACATGATATACAGTTATCTTTCTCTTTTATTTTTTTTTATTTTTTATTATTGAATCAAGTATCCAAGACTCTACCATCGAGAGGTCTCAAGGCTCTGTCTTGCAGGTTTAGACTGCCCACTACATCTAACTCATCATCGCATCGCTGATCATCTTAAGCATCGTGCAGATTTATACTTTGTCAAGTAGCGCCATTTGTGAGAATCAATTTATTTGGTCTTCACACAATTAAATAAATTTCTTTGGAAAAAGCTGAAATTTGTTGGTACTTTTAGCCGAGGGTGCCAAACCATACCAACTTGTTCTGTGGGATCAAGTCGTGTTTTAATGAAAATAAAAAAAATCTCCTGCTGTCGAGGATCATATTTGCATAAGAAGAAACTAGCAAGAAATTTCAAATTCGACCACAAGGTCACCAACTCAAGAATATCCAGAATCAGAAAGTTTGAAACTTGGCAAAGATGATCGTCGACTAACCCGTCGACTAACAGAGAAGAATTTTAGCAATTTTGAAAACTATAGATTAGTCCCTCGTGATATTATTTATTATTTTTAAATATTGGTTTGGAGACCGAGGTAATTTTATTATTCTGATGGACTTCCTCATTCTAGGTTGATACTTTTATCCAGGTCTAAATAAATTGATACTTCCAGTCTTTTTATTTATCTGCGTATATACATGAAAGTGACTGTCACTGCTTTCTTTTTAGACTTTTAGTATTTATCATTGTTAGTCTCATGACTACAAAATAAGGAATACCGATACTTAAAAAGTAAAGCTCGAGAGATAAATCTCTGCGAAAGGACAACAACCATCATACTATTATTCAAAATATTTCAAAAGATATATTTCAGAGGTTCTTCAAACACAACATTCTTGAAAAACTTGTAATCATCAATTTTCTCGGATATTTTCTTTCCCGAGATGAGAAAACAACAAATTTAATAATTCTCGAGACTGATCACTTCAAGAACTCAACCAAATCCAAGGAAAATCACCTTGGTCTTGTACAAAAATAATCACGAATATAAAATCCAGAAGTAAATCACCTTGGTCCCGAAGGCAAACCACCACAGGTACAAAATCCAAGGCAAATCACCTTGGTCCGAAGTAAAACTACCATGGAAATAAATCTGAAGGAAAACTATAAAATATCTCAAAGAAAATTACCATCTTAGTCAAAAAAAATCACCTTAGATTCTATATAAAAGGAAAAAAAAAAAAAAAAACCCCCCACAAGATGGGCACAAGACCCGGCTGGACATGCACCATACTTGCCAAACAAGCATAAATGAACCAACTCGAGAATGGAATTCTTGAATATATCTACATGTCTTACCTTTTACAGGTGACACTCAATAACGAAAAAGTTTAAGAACTTGAGCATTTTCGAAAATTCATCAACAACAGTATCGTACTTGTAGCAACCTATGTTCTCTCATTAAGTCTCGGAAATATAGCTTGCCATGAGCACTTGAATTGGCCGAATTGAACCTGAGCCTATTGAACTTAGGGTTAGATTACTTGGAAAGTCACTGTCCAAACCTATTATTACTATGTTTACATAAACATGTAATGCCAATTCTATAAAAAGGTGGTGTCTCTCTCTTATTTTATATCTTACACATGATCAACACACGATTTACAACTCCTTCTCTTTTATTTTCTTATTGACTCAAGTACCAGAAAGTCTACTTTCGAGAAACCTGAGGCTCTTATTACAAGTTTTAAGCTGGCCATCCTAAGTACCGTGCAGGTTTCGAGTTCGTCAATAGTTAGGTTAAGACATGTAAGAATTTCGCTACATATATTTGGATCCGTTTTAGAACATTTCATAATTAAGTTGCCTCATACATCGAAGTACATATACAATTTAGCAGAGTTATTAGTCACTATTCTGAAAGAACAGTGGACACATGCGACGTGCAAATATAAGGCTGCAATGATTTGATCACCGTCCTGCGTTCGCATTGTTGTTTGCCTACTCGCATTTCGAACATAATACAATTATTCTATTACTACAATATAATGGATCATTTTAAATTTTTATTTGTAATAATTTAAGTAAAAAATTATTTTGAAACAGAGACGTTACTACTTTATATATACTTTGCCTTAGGGATAAATGTGAGGTTTCCGATTCTTGTCATTGATCTGGAGTCCATGTATATGTGACGCGTCGTGCTCATGCATGATATGTTTTCGCCGTTTAGTCAATCACAGTCATCCAGAAAATGGGGAGGGGGAAGAATAAAACTAAAGAACAGTGTTCAGTTTAGTTTGAATTCCTGTGCTCTGCCGTATGTAACTTGACTGATAGCGCCTGTTTATTTTGAGTAGGAATGCGATTTAGTCAGAGTTTCTGTCCAGGTTTGTTTAGTGTTTCTACTGTTTTAAAATAATTGTGTCAATTAAATTGTTGTTTTTAATTACATTTCAGTGAAATTGATAATCTAAACTAGACAATTATATTATAAGAGAGAGTATTCTTATTGATGTTTAAATTGCTTTCCAAATAAAAATTTTCTTTTTATAAAGAAAAGGAAAACAACTACCAAGTGAGTTTCACTTATCAACGTTGAAGAATCAAGAATCTCTCTATTTAGCTCTGGCATGATTCGATTCTTGGAACTCTAAAGAATTCACGCACTTATAACTTCACAAACTTGGTTATGATCATTTCCCGTGTAAAACATTGTCATCCTCTTCAATGTTTCTTTCGGAACAAGAATTATATTGTGTATTCTCTCGTATTTTATAAGGTATTTTGATATATTTTAGGTTTTATTATCGTGTTTTTCCTATACTATGAAAATTAAATCGGAAAAATACTTTATAGAGACTAGAAAGTTTAGGCGCCCTAAAAAATATTACATTCATAATTACAAAATGTTACTCTCTGTACCATTTCAATGAACATTTTCTCTTCTTTTTTTTTTTGTTAAACATTAAAACTTCTCACTTCAGACAACTAATTGACTTTTTATCTACAAATATTTAATTAATTTTAACTATTCTCACTCTTTAACTTACAATTCACTAGTCATTAGTATGCCATTAGTATGAGCGTATTAGAAATTTTATTAAAAGATTAACCACATAAACTATGTTATCTATTTTTATTTAATTTTTGTGTATGTCCAAATAGACTTTTGTAATGGGAATAGAGGGAGTACATTTTATTCTACTCCTGATATTGCATTTGTCAAAATCATTTATTTACAAGAAAGAATAGACCTCTAAAGTCTAAACTAAGAAGAGAGAAGTATAGTAAAAATGATAAGAACGAGTCCGTATCCAGTGCACCCGGGTGTACCGTATACCCCTCACCAAACACACGCGCAACACGCGCTCAACTGTTTTTACTTTTACATTAAATGCACACACAAAATTGTTTTCATCCATTTCATCCTCACGCACAAACACACACAAACACACAATCCTCGGAAACTCTCCATTTGAGGGCAAATACAAAATTGACCACCACCACAAAATTACAGAAAGTCGACGGAAAACCTCCGCTGGAAGACGATTTTGATAACTTCATCTTCTCTCTGCGTTTTTTCCTTTTGTCAGTCTGTTCTTTCACAAACACACACGCACACACAGACGACGGCGAGAAACCCTACCTCCGGCTATCTCAAGCTCTCCTTCATCTATACATGCTTCACGGGTAAGTATATTACTCCGGGATCCTAGTTTTTTGATTATCCAGCAATATTCTGTGTTTATCCACTAGATCTGAACTGTTTATCCATGTTTTCCTGCGTATGCTATGTGATGGTTGTCCATGCCATAATTGCTGGTTATCCACCCATTTCATACTGATTATCCACACAGCACACTGGTTATCCAGAAAGTGTAAACAAGTTATCCACAAGTTGTAAACTGGTTATCCATGCTTTTTTTACATTTGATTCTATGTGCCATGGACAAACTGAACTGGTTATCCATGTTTTTGTGTTTTTTTGTTACTGATTATCCACTATATATCTGAACTGATTATCCAAGTTTTCCTGCGTGTGTGCTATGGGGTGCTTGTCCAAACTTTGTTTGTGGTTATCCACCCATTTTATACTGGTTATCCGCAGGGTGTAAACTGGTTGTCCATTGTTTTTTTTAGATGTGCTTTTATGTGGCTACATGTCTATACATTATTTGCTGGTTATCCACCCATTTCATACTGGTTATCTACAAGTTTTAAACTGGTTATCCACATAGCATACTGGTTATCCACCCATTTCATACTGGTTATCCAGAAGGTGTAAATTGGTCATCCACAAGTTGTAAACTAGTTATCCACAAGTTGTAAACTAGTTATCATTGCTTTTTTTACATTTGATTCTATGTGGCATGGACAAACTGAACTGGTTATCCATGTTTTTGTGTTTTTCTGTAATTGATTCTATGTGGCATGGACAAACTGAACTGGTTGTCCATGTTTTTGTGTTTTTCTGTTACTGATTATCCACTATATATCTGAATTGGTTATCCAAGTTTTCCTGCGTGTGTGCTATGGGGTGCTTGTACAAAATTTGTTTGTGGTTATCCACCCATTTTATACTGGTTATCTGCAGGGTGTAAATTGGTTATCCATTGTTTTTTTTAGATGTGCTTTTATGTGGCTACATGTCCATACATTATTTGCTGGTTATCTACCCATTTCATATTGGTTATCCACAAGTTGTAAACTGGTAATTCACATAGCATACTGGTTATCCACCCATTTCATACTGGTTATCCAGAAGGTGTAAACTGGTTATCCACAAGTTGTAAACTGATTATCCAGAAGGTGTAAACTAGTTATCCACAAGTTGTAAACTGGGTATCCATGCTTTTTTTACATTTGATTCTATGTGGCATGGACAAACTGAACTGGTTATCCAAGTTTTCCTGTGTGTGTGCTATGGGGTGCTTGTCCAAACTTTGTTTGTGGTTATCCATCCATTTTATACTGGTTATCCGCAGGGTGTAAACCTGTTATCCATTGGTTTTTTAGATGTGCTTTTATGTGGCTACATGTCCATACATTATTTGCTGGTTATCCACCCATTTCATATTGGTTACTCCTTTTCATATCCTGCTATTTTGTCCACTGACTTCTTAGTGATTGTCCAATGCCAACAGTGCCCTAAAGGAGCTTAGATCAAAACATAGGCACGGACGGATCAGCGCAAGCCATGACCTTAACCGCAACCCAGACAGATCACCGGATCCTGAACCAAATGTAACGGAGCTCCCTGAAGGAACACTGACAATATTTAAAAAACAAAAATCAACACAAGAAGAACAATCCCCTGGTCAAAGTCCAAGGCCCCACAACTTGTGGAGGAAACCAAACAAAAAGAAGAGCACGCTGACAGGAAATCCAAAGCAACTTGTGGTCGCTGATGATTAGAAGCCCAAAAAGAAAAGAACGAAACCTGAGAACAAACTGATGATTGGTTAAGATCCACAGGCAATCAGTTCTGAAGATTGTGTCAAGAAATTTGAGACCAGGATGACACCAAACCATCTCTTCCAACTCATCACTGAAATCAATAAACCAACAGATCTTACAAGAGAGCCAGATGCGGTAGATTATCGCCAACTACAAAAGGCAGGCTATCAAAGATATGGGATTTGGCACCTTGCTGGATCTCAAAATAAAAAATATTCCAATAGCATTATATAGCTTTCTGCCAAACAATTTCCAGACCGGTGCGAGACAAGTCCCATTGAATGGCAACAATGTACTGGATATCAAACAGGAAGATGTTGTTGTTGTACTTGATCTTCCTCGTGGACCCAAACCAGTGGAAGAATTCAAACAGAACGATCTCGCTATAATGGACCACGCAGAGATCGTGGATGCATTCAAGAAAAGAATGGGATACAGTAATAAATTCCTGCCAACGAGATCCACGGCGGCACAATTAATTGCTAGTCGAAAAGATTATGGTGATGACTTCAAACGAGATTTCCTAGTCTTCGTTGTGAGCACATTCTTACATGGAAACACCACCTCCAGAATTACTATGAACATCCTGAAAGGATGCAAAAGTCACCACGATGGGAAACCATTCACCGGTCCGATCACTTTTTTTCTAGTACTTACCATATCCGTACAAATTTTACTATTTATCCATATTGCTTGCAATGTTTATCCAATTTGCTTGTACTGATATTATTAACACCAACTTTTTTTCTTTTTTTTTTTGTTAGTTGTGCTACCTTGACAGGTGTGAGTATGAGAGAGCACATCCGAGGTCATTCCCTGTGATCAAATTTTGGGATCAAAAGATGCTGGATGACAGATTAAGACTTCAGAGAAGCAATTTCACAGATGTCCAGACACTTGAACGTCTCAAGAAACCGTCCTCAGCAGCATTTCGAGAAGAACACCCAGAGGGGGAATCACAGAAGGAGGATACACAGGCCAACCCCAACACACAGCAAGTCTATGTAGTGTTCTACCATTTTTTTAAGATTACACCTACGTATCCAACCTAGCATATCCACATTCCACTAACTACATTCACTTTTGCAGGACCTTGCTGCTCTTGATGAAAAGTTCTACCAATTGATTATCTCGATGAGCAAAACTGTTTTAGACATACGTGAAAAGGAAATGGAGTTAAAAATTGAACCAGATGAACAAACAAAGCAAACAATCAAGATCCTAACAGATGCAATGGTGTCGATGAGTAGAAAGCTGCCTCCGCCTCCAGGGACAACGCAACACCAACAAGAGCAGCAGCAAGACCCACAGCATCCAGAGGACCAACAGCATCAACATGAGCAAGAGCAACACCGAAAAGTAGACCTCCAGGATGCACATATTTGTGAATTGTGCGAGATGGCATGGAAGGCCGCTGAAAGCAGGTTTGCAACAATAATAGAACAGCTGCAATGACAAGTAGCTGACCAACAACAACAACACCAACAAACTTGTGACAACACTGTACAAGCTCCAATTAATCCCACAAATTTTCAAGACATTGAAATTGTCAAAGCACAGGGACTGGAGCAATTGAGCCAGACAAATGATGAGGATTCTCTTCCAGTGGGGCAATCCGTACCTACTTCAAAAGAAGTGGTTGTTGATGAACAACAAACTCAACCACAAGGTAATGAATATTTTTGTCATACATTTCTTACGGTTTATAAAAAAATAAAAAAATAAAAACCAATGTCCACCTCGTTCGTACTCGTTATCCAACCGGTTTTTTTTTAATGAAAAAAAATAGTTGTCCGATGTGATTGTACTTATCATCCAACTAATTCTACTGCTTATCCAACCCTTTTTTTCCTTTTAAATGGTTATCCATTGTGTTCCTGCCAATTATCCGGCCTGTTTGAACTGATTATCCACTTCGTTTGAACTGGTTATCCAATGTGTCCAATATATACGTATGTTCGTACTGATTATCCAACATTCTAACTTTGTACTGTAGCACATGGAACGAATATGTCCACAACAGAAAAGAAGAGATCCCATCAAGATTCCACCGGCCGAGATTCAGGTGTGACATCCACCTATACCAGAAGGACGAGAAGCACTGGTACCAGGAAAAGGAAAGTATTCAAAGACCCAACTATCCCACACTTTGGCCTGGGTATCTTCTCCAGTCAGGAAGACAGTTACGAGACAACCCAGGAGAAGAACACTGAGGAAGATATCACAGGAAGTGTTGATTTGGATAAAGATGTCGATGAGACTATAGAAGCAGAAGAATATCCAGTATCATCTGCACTCGACGAAACAAAGAATCCTACTCCTTCCATCGATGAAATCATAAGAAGGGCCAGTGCACCAGCTTCAAAATCATTAAGTGATATAAAAAAACTAGAGATGATTGCCGCTGCTGCAGAAGAAGTTGAGAAGAACTCAAAGGTGGTTGAAGCAGTCCCTATAAGCATAATTTGATCCGATTGGAATATTGCTTCTACCACCGGTGATCTACTGATGCTGGAGAAAAATGAGTTTACCACGCTACTGCCTGCAATCTCAAAGGAAGCTGATGAGCTTGATGAAGAGTTAACAAAGACAGTGGAAAAGTAAGTTTGATCCACTGTGACTCCCCACTACAAAATAAAAAGAAAAATTTACATACTAACTCTCTTTTGTTTTGTCCTAGGATCCTCAATGAAAAACCTAAGAGGAGAAATCTAGCAAGAGTCCGCCAGTTGCCCGAACGGTTCAGCTCGCCATTCATGCTCCAGAAGAAGAACAAGAAAAAATTCATACAGTGGACAGAGGAGAAGAAGAAAATGACCCAAGAAGAAGCCCTGTTGATAAACTTCGCTCTCTTACAAAGAGAAGAAGAAATAGTTAAATCAGGGTAAAAGTCACCATCCTTACCCGTGGGATAAAAAACTTACTAGTTTTCCAATAATTTGTCTATTTGACTACTTTTTCTATGCAGGAAACTCTTGTTTGAATTTGGAAAAATAGTTTGGGCAGACAGGACAGCATTCTATTCCATGAGGGAAGGGACATGGATAGAAAACAGCATCATAGATGCTTGGGCTGTCATCCTAAACAAAGAAGAAGCTAAGAGTGACTCCCCAAGACGGATATTCTTTGGTGTTTCGTCATTTGTAAGTCAACTAAACCCTTATTGTTTATCCTGCCCTGGTAAAAGTACTTGTCACATGTCTGCAAGTTGTTTATCCATATGTTTGTACTTATTATCCAATTTGTTACTAATGCTTGTCCACCAGGGTTGAACTGGTTATCCAAGCCTTCTTGTTATGCATTTTTCTATGGGATTGTTTTCGTCTCCCTTCTATGTGGTGGCTTGTCCATGATTCATTTGCTAGTTATCCATCTGGTCTATACTACTTATTCACAAGATCTAAACTGGTTACCATTCCTTCTTGTGTGTCATCTAGGGTACTTTTGGTTGACCTTGTATGTGCTTGATTCCGATCATTGTTTTCTACTGCATTTTCCAACCATTGTACTAATCATTGTATCATTTTCCAACCGTCTCAAACAATAACACAGGATACATTCAGTCGCTACTATCAACAGGGCAGTAACAAAGATGAAATCGAGCTCACATTCTATGAGAGGTTGGGTCTTGAACTAGAAGAACAAGGCCTTACTGTAGCATCCCTATTAGCGGCAAAAGCTGTAAGCAACATCTTTCACCTCCTTCACTCTTTCTAAAACTGGCTGTTAAAAAATTTTCATATGATTTCACCTTTCAATGTGAAATTTCAGATCTACTTCCCAGTACACTACCAAGACCATTACTTCTTGTATGTGTTGCTGGTTGAAGAAAAGAAAGTGCTCGTCCGCAACAATATTCATGCAAAAGATCTGGACTACTACAACCCAACGAAAGATCTACTTGTGAGTGAAAAAAAAGATACAAAATGATTGTCATACTTTAAGAATTATTCATTGCATTTTGCTGATCCCTAGATTTCATGGCATCACAGTTTCAATTCTTCAAAAGCTACGTTGCATGCGTGTTTCCACGCATAGAACTGGTTAGTACTCAATACACCTTCACAGAGGTAATGCTACCATCACATAAGAACAAAACGCCGAATGCGGAAGATTGTGGAATATACACAATGCATTATATGTAGCGGTATGATGGTGGTGAGTACGAGGATGGTACTACTTTGGATTTCAACACAGGAAACATCAAAGAGTACCGGTGGGAATACATAATAAAAATCCTAATGCACCCAGTCAACAAAAATAAGGACAAAATCTTCGAAGCAATGCACCAGTTCTACACAAATACTGCTAAAGAAGAACAAAATGAAATTCCAGATCATGTTGATTTAGCAGCAAATCTTACTACAATGACAGAAAAACTGAGGGATGGGTTAAATGAACTATCATTATGTTCTCTTGTATAATTGATTGACTGTTGATCCTAAAGTGTTTGATATCCAACAGCTGTGTACTGGCCATCCTATTATATTATCCAACCGTTTGTAATGGTTATCCAGGATCTTTATACTAGTTATCCAACTTGTTACACCTGATTATCCGAATGTTTTATAGTAATTATCTAGTCAAAAAAATGTAAGTACAATCTTTAACCTGATTATCCATGAGTTTATACTTGTTATCCAAACCTTCAATACTGCTTATCCATATGTAACCAATGTCTATCCACTATGTGGACATAACAAAACAAGGATTCAGATAGGGCTTCCAAAAAGACATAACAAAAGAAAATATCCATAAGAAAATATCCATACAATGTATTTTGATTGTCCAAATATTTCTGTAAATTCCCAAACAACAAAAACTGAGTGTCCCAATTTCTTGGTCTTTCTACTTCTTTATTAAACTGCCTATCCTATGATGTTATACTGCTTATCCAATATTTCTTTGTTGATTATCCAATGCTCTGTATTGATTATCCAGGACTTTTGTACTAGTTATCCAGCCAATGTGCAGAATAAATTATGCATCAAATTAACTCAGATTCCATAAATTAACATAGATTAAAATTAACATAAACTAAAACAGCAATAATCCATCAAACTACCTCTGAGACTACAAAAAAGCCTATCCAACCTGGGCATGTTAATTAAAGAAGCAAACGGCATGTTAATTGGGGGGCTTCGCCCCCCATGATAAACTAAATGACTCCCGCGGCTACTGGAATCGCAGGTCACCAACCTGCCCCGGCTGTAGCTAAGGTAATCCTTTTTTTGTGTGTGTGTAAGGAGAGTGTGTTATTGCGTTAAGAGGGGACACAAATTACTTGTATAAATCCCCCCGTGATAAACTAAACGACCCGGTTGCGGCGGTGCCGAACATGGCAAATTTCATAAATAGTATTTAATTGAATGAGGGACAATTTACCAAATGATGGAGAACAAAAAATGAATGAGGGGCAGCTGGATAACCAGTGTAAAAAATACGAACAAGGATATCCAAGAAAAATATAAAAGGAAAAAAATGATAGTCCACGTTGTCAACACTGATTATCCAATAGGTTAATAATGGTTATCCAGTCATTTTCTAATGACTTTCAAACTGGTTTGTACTGGTTATCCAAAATGATTATCAGTACTTGCCCAATGTGTTAGTATTGATTATCCAAACGGTTTGTAATGCTTATTGAATTTTTACTTTGTTTTTATTCTTTATGAAAAATGCCTATCCATAGTGTCAACACTGGTTATCCAGCTGTGTTTAATTGGTTATCCATAGTGTGCACACTGGTTATCCACAGTGTGGAGCATGTTACTGTGTATAAGTGAAAAGCCACACATTTTATAATTAAATAGAATTTAAAAGATTGAGGGAGTAAAAATAAAAAAAAAAAAGAAAACTGAAAAGACTGATGTTTGTGCAGAGTACATCATGCTTTAATGGGTAGTTATAGAGCCACACGTTTTTACATGGAATGGATTGAATAAGGATCAGTTACATAACTGTCATTAAATGAGTTTCTTGATTATCACAATGACAGTTAATGTTAGAGAGTGAGAAGACACTGATTTGTGCAAAAAGATAGGACTGCATGGGTAGTTAATCCGTCAAACTACCTCTGTCAATATCAGAAAAAAAAGACTACCTGCAAAGTGTCCATAAAACTCCTTGACATCTCTACATACAGCATTTCTATAAAACTCTCTCATCTACACATACACCAGAACGCCTGATTTGAGCATCCAAAACATCCAACAGCCAGAAAAAATGAAAAACGAAAAAATTTCCTCAAATTCCACAACCAAACAAATGTCCCCCAGGCAAGCAAAGCAAAAAAAGAACAACTACCCTGAATATATCCATCACGATATGCTTGATAATATGTTCATTAATCTGACATTGGAAAAAATTGGTGAGTTCCGTCGTGTCAGCAAAGCTTGGGAGCAAATGACGAAAAGACAAGAATTTGTTCTTCAAAAACGTGAGATGAGCTACCCTGCAACTGAAAACAACATCCTTGTTTTCACTCAAACAAGCCAAGAAGGTCATCTATTGCAAGACAAACCAATCGCCACCAACATAAAAGTGCAAATGGATAACCCATGCAACCACATACGATTGCAAGAAGAGATGTCGATGGGTGACGATGGCATCCAGAAAATCATGCCTATCACCACAGATTTGGTCTGTCTGCAAACCAGGTCTCAAATCAAAATCTTGAACCCAAAGACAACACAACTTGCATCAATTGAATGGACATATGATGTCCCTCTCAGCAATTGTGAAACAGCATTTGGGTATGTATCATCCTCAAAAATTTACGTTTTCATGGCCCTTATTGCCGATGGAAAAAACATGAAAGGCTGCATTTTTTCTTTTCAAAGTTAATGAAGTATTCATAGAGGGGAATGGAAAACACTTTGCAATGTATGTGCTCGCCTTGTATCTGATGGAACCTGGTTTGATAGATTCGTGTACTGGCGTGTAGACAAACTATCCTCTGAAATAGCAACACCTCAAGAGTTGCTGGTCGTGTTTGACTACCACCCTCAACAATTCCAAACCATAAACAGCCCTCCATCCACAATCTTCTTTAACCCCACTGATCCTTATCATATGAATCTCCAAGTGAAAATATTAGACTTTCAAGGGACTTTGTGTGTAATAGATGAGTACCACATTACTTAGAATCATCACTGTCAGATGTGGGCATGGGATCCAGATACTTCCACATGGGATTGCATGTTCGAGACCCATGAATTCCCAAATGTGAACACACACATTCCACACGGATTATAGTTCCGCCATGATTGGCTTTATCCGGTGTTTCTAAGCCACAAATCATCTCCAGCAGGACAGTTCATTGTCAAAGGATACGATAATCGACATTTGCTGTTGTATAGTGTTCCTACCAGGAAAATCACACACTCAAGTACATCGCCGGATCTGGAAACCAGTTTCATCATTACAGCATGTTACTTCTGGGAGACATTAACACACTTTTAGGATTTTTTTTCTTTAAAAAAATTTATCTTTCCCTTGTTAACTTATTACTGAAAATAATTGTCCATTGATCTTATACTGGTTATCCCAGGACTTTGTACTAATTATCCACATTATCTATGTTGGTTATCCAATGATATTATTTATGAAGAAAGCGTGTTCAACGTGTTCATGTCTTTTTTGTAATATCAATATGCATTTAAAGTTGCATATCCGGTACAGGCGAGTTGGATATCCATTATAGACGAGTTGGATATCTAGTACAAACGAAATGGATATCCAGTACAAACAAGTTCGATAGGCATACAAACCAAATGGGTGGATATCCAGTACAAACAAGTTGGATAACCAGTTCAAACTGGTTGGATAATCAGCATGAATACAACGGATAACTAATTTAAAATAACCACTTGGATAACCAGTATAAACAAAATGGATAACCAGTTCAAACTGGTTGGATAATACTGCAATTTAAAATAAATACTACTTTTTAAATAAAAATCTTTACACCATCAATACTGTTCATTTCAACATCAAGTAAAAATACTAATAAAACATCTTGTTGAAGAAACGCTGCGCTCCAGCCTCCTTGGCAGCTTCCCTTCAGTTAGAAAATGAGAACCCACCAAAGTTTTGATTCATGAATGTCATGTTTTGATGAGAAGCATTCACAGCAGCGGAAGTGCTTGCGCCTTGAAACTCCTGGCCAGCTCCCTTGGGAATTGGAAATGAGAATCCACTGGAATTTTCGTTGATGAATGGCATGCTTTGATGAGAAGCATTCACAGAAGTGGAAGCCCCTGCCCCTGAAAAATCCTGGGCAGCTATACTTGGATTAGTAAATGAGAATCCACCAGAATTTACGTTCAAAGATGGCATGCTTTGATGGGAAGCATTCACAGCAGCAAAACTTCCTAAGCCTGAAAAATCTTGAGCAGCTCCCTTTGGATAAGGAAATGGCATGCTTTGATAATGCAGGTCTGATGCAACTGAAGCTCTTGTTCGGTCGGCAGCAATTCTTGCATTTGTTTTCCTGCCTCTAACTTTGTTACATGCCTTTTCAACAATGCTTTTAGGACGTTCGTTCCTTGGACCGAACTTCTTCCTCTTTACAACCGGATTCTTTATAACACCATCATTGTCTACAGACTCATCATTATTATTCGAACCAATGAAACTGCCGAGTTCTTTTTTAAGCCTGTCAACCGCCTCGTCACAACATTTCTTTGCATATTTGTGATATTCACTTGCATACACCAAGTCTGAAAATCATCTCATAATTAGCGCCTTCCACAACAATGACCCAGCAGCTTTTCCATCTCCCTCATTAGCTATGCTTGACCTGGCACCATAACCTTTTGTCCATCTCATACATATATAATCTTTTGGAAACTCATCAACAGAGGTTACATGACAGATTCGAAGAATGTGGCAACAAAGCATGCCCGCCTCAGAGTAGTACCTGCACATGCATGAGAATCTCTGTAACCTAGTGTCATGTACAACCACATGCTTAAAGTGCTCTATCTCAAACCGCCAAACATTGTATGTCACAATATTGCCATCATTTGAGACCTCTAACTGCTCCTGCCTGCACAACATCCCATCTTTGTGCAACTGCTGAACCTCCCTAAATGCTTCAACTGTGTACACTCTGCGAATGCTCTCCAGGAAAGGGTCACCAGGAAGATATGAATCGATGTTTCCCTAGCTATAGCGTAGATCTTTATACCTCACAGCTACCCGCCAACAGTGTACAACATCAGAGAAAATTCTATGGAAATCACAAAGCGATGATGTGGCCTTCATTTTACGACAAATTGCATTATTTGTTGACTCGCTCCTCTGTGAAGACAAGGTACCACCAGAAAAAACATCTTTGCTAAATGTAGGGCACCACATATGCCTCACATCATAAATACCATTGAGCCATTTGTCATCATGACAATCATACTCATCCAATAATCTGTGCACAACAGTATAAAACACATGCATAAAAGAAAAATACTTAGATTATCCATATAGATCCACAAAGAAACATGTACATCCTTAGGCTTTCTACTGCTTATCCAGTAATCATTTACAGATTATCCAAAACCTGGTACTGTCTATCCATCAATAACTCCTTTAAACCCCTGCAATAATTTCCTAATGCTTATACAAAGGCGTTCTACTAGTTATCTAGCCATAATTGCTGGTTATCCACAATGTGTAAACTAGTTATCCAGCCATAACGGATGGTTATCCACAATGTGTAAACTAGTTATCCAGCCATAATTGCTAGTTATCCACAATGTGTAAACTAGTTATCCAGCCATAACGGGTGTTTATCCACAATCTGTAAACTAGTTATCCAGCCATAATTGCTGGTTATCCACAATGTGTAAACTAGTTATCCATGTCTTTTTTTCGTTGTGCTTCTATGCGGCTGCTTGTCCATACATTATTTGCTGGTTATCCATCATTGCTGTATAACTTACCTACCTATAAGTAATCATCAGGAAGATCATGCATGACCACTAACACATACCCAAACAAAAAAAAAAAAAAAAGAGATACTCTTAATCATGGCAATGATCAAAATAATACTAAAAATATTGACAAATTGACCTCCTCCATAATACCTCGAACTCGATTTCTATTGAAGTGTATTTCATCAGATAATTAAAGTTCTTAACAAAATCTAGCTTGTTCCTTAAATGACCAATTTGCTTTCTTGAATTTTCACCTATGTGCCATACACAGAGACGATACCGAGAACTTGGAAAACATGTCCGAATACTTGCAGCAATGGAAGGTGCTTGATCTGTCATTATGGTTTGTGACTACTTATCCCTCATTGATTTCAAAAACTGCTTGAACAACCAATCAAAAGAGGGTTCTTTCTCGTTTAACACAAAACCACAACCAAACATGACATTCTTGTTATGATTATCCATACCCACAAACAGAGCACAGATCATTCCATATCTATTTGTTCGATACGTCGTATCAAACACAAGCAAGTTACCAAACAAATCATAATCCTTTCGCATTCTGCCATCCCTCCAGAAGAAAGTACATAGCCTACCATGCTCATCACAGTCAAAATCAAAGAAAAAATCTTCTTCAGTTTCCTTCCTGTCCCAAAAAATCTTCATCAGCTGATTATAATCGCCACCTTCAAATCCAACACCAGGACGCTCATAATTGTAGGCATCTCTCAAAGTATACTTTATGTTCAGACTTCCCCCGTGTAATTTTGCCACAAACTTATATGCATCAACCAAAGGGATGCCACTCATTGTCATGTCTCTAATTATCTTCATATCATTTTCATCTACTTCACGTTGAGATCGAAGAAGTCCAATCATTTCATTCGGCACAAGATCATGATTTTGATCAACCAGATGCTTTGTACAGGTCCACAACCCATCTTTGTCAACAGTAAAATGGATATAAGCTGGACACCCACACCGAAAATTAATCCTCTCATGGCACACATCACCATTTCCACCGGATCTCTTGTATCCTTCGCGGTTACAATAGAACTTCTTCATCCTAACTTTATCAGTCTTACCTCTAAATTTCTGTTTTCCCACTCTCACACTAAAAGCAATCAATCGGGCGTGATCATTATACAAGTCATAAGTTTCTTTCTCACTTCTTGCAGTCTTGCCAACTAAAGTAAAAACAGCCAAATCATTATTCTTCGTTACAGATAAAATTTTCTTGTGCAAGGAATCCTCCTCCACCATCACATTATCAACTCCCAATTCATTGCCGCTATTATCTTCTCCATATTCTAAGAAAAACAAAAGAGATGGTTGGATAACCATTACCAAGCAGTCGGATAATTAGTATTAACACAATGGATAAACAAATTAAAAAAAAATTTAAACACATATAAACAAGTTAGAAAACCTACCCTTCAGAGCAGATATAACTTCCATGCGCAAAGCATCATCCAGCATCACATCATCCCCCAACTCATTGATATGGTTATCTTTTACAAAAAATGAGACAAACAAAACAACAAAAATTTAAAAAAAGAAATCTTTGATACACCAATTCAATATAAACAACTCAAAAATGTTGGATATCCAGTACAAATCAGTTGGATATCCAGCAAATAAAATTTGGATACGCATGTAAATCCGTTGGATATCCAGTACAAACAAGTTGGATATCCAGTACAAACAAGTTGGATATTCATACAAATTTCACTAAAGTTGGAAAACCAGCACCAAACGAGTAGGAAAACCAGTAAAACAAAAAAAAAAAAAGTTTCATAATTAGTACTTTGTATCGTCTATCCATGTTTACCACAATCAACAAAAAGCATATCCACATATCCGTCTAAATAACAAACGATATCCAACACAGCATAACTGCTTATCCACTTCATACAACATTAACAAAAACAGACTTTTCTCACAAACAGTACACTCCGAAACCTACACAAACCTGATTGCAGCGGATCTACAACAGAACTGTGACCTTGCGTTGATTTGCTGGCACAGTAAGATTGTTCGATGGATTTGCTACCACTACATTCCGCATTTATCAAGCCGGAATCATCAACGAGATAACTCATCACTCGATCTGAACTCAGCATATCGTCGATCCAATCACCGTTTCGCCACTCTGGTGGAATCGGAGCCTTTCCTCGATCACTGATCGTCGTCGCCATCTCAACGACTCGATCGCCGCCGGCCATGTACACGTCAATGCCTCGATCGCCGACTCCCATTGCCGCTTCAACGCCTCGATTGCCGCCGGCCGTCGCCCATCAATAATACTCCATCACAAAGTTTTCCAAATTTGAATGAATTCGGTAATTTATATAAGCCCGCGTTTAAAAAAAAAAGAAAAAGAAAGCTGAATTATAATAGCGGACTCACGCTATTATAGAGAGTAAAGTACACGCGCAGGGGGGTACACGGTACCCCCGGATGTACTAGATAATTTGCCGATAAGAACATTCTTCTACAATATAGACATCGTGACATGTAAAACTTAAATTCTATTATTGTTGTAATATGATAAAAAGACCAAGGGTTTATATATTGAGACGGAAACAAATTAATCTGAAAAACATTGGAAACCTAGAAGTAAACAATCATGTTGAACCAGTTATAACGTGTCTGCACCATACAACAATTTCATCCCTAAATATTAAAGTATATTTTACATTGCAGGGTTAAGATCGAATTAATTTTCAATCTTGCATAAACCCAAAAGAAAATTCCTAAATGCAAAACTACTGTTATAATAATGATAACAATTACAGTAATAATAAATTGAATAAAAAAAAAAGCCAAGTCAAAATGCAGGATACTGTAAGCTAGTTGATGATAATTGCCGTCTCAGAAGTATCACCATCAGCTTCTTCTTCTTCTTCTTCATTAGTTTTGCCGGAACGATTCGAATCATTCGACGGAGGAACTCTGAGAATAATAACTTTGAACACGATCCTAGTGGCGGTAGCTTCGATGAGCTCGAAGAAACAACAATCACCGGCTTTCAATTTATTATCAACCACGAATTTCCTCCATCCAAATCTCTTGCCATAGTGTTCCCTCGGAGTAGTGGTGCTCCAATGCCTGCCATGAGACATGAGGACTACCGGGGCCTTCAATGACGGTATCTCCGCCGCAATTTTCGCCGGGACGTACTACAAATTAACAAAACAAACACATAGAGATGTTCATTCATTCATGAACAAAAAAAAAATGTTTCTTTTTTCTTCTGATGTAAGTCCAATGAAATAGGGTGAAAATTAACGAAACTATATAATTACCACTTGGCAAATTGGACCAACATGGGCTTCATTGAGGATTAAATCGAAGTAAGGGTTTGAACCAGTGAGAGTGTAGTATTCAACGTCGTCGATTCTGGTTTCTGTTGATGCAGGCAAAAGCTCCTCTGTTTTCTCTTCTTTGATATTGTTTGAGTTGGGAATCTTGAACTCTTCTTTGACCTTGGCTACATTATTAATCTCATTCTCATTATCAAGCAGATGATCAGACATTTCTTTGGCAATGGCTAACTACTGGTTGCTTAGAAATTTTACTGATCCTTAATAATGGTTTTATGGTTTTAAGAAAGAAAGATGAAGAGGGAGAGACTGAAAAAGAAATACAGGGGCGAGGAAACAGAGATGAGAATATTTCCCATACCAAATTCTGATTTAGAATATATCAAAAACGTATCCATGAAAACAACCAAACTGTGTAGGTGTTAGAACTTAGAAAACCGTGAAAGCAATATTTTTACCCAATAGATTTTTACCCATCTTCTTAGTCATAGATATCAACGTCCTTTTGTGAACAGTAAATACTGTGAAAACAGTTCCGTTCAGGTACGTTAAAGGACTCAGAATCAATACTGAGGAATCCTGCTTCCCAATTAGCACACGATGACCAAGGAAAACATTAGCTTAGAGAGACTGAACAAGTCTGAACTCCCTTTTTCCAAAAAAAAAAAAAAAAAAAAACAAGTCTGAACTCTGAAAAGGCAATATATGATGAATGATGATCCATGACCTCTTTTGAAACTTGAATGAAATATTACTCTCAAAAATTATATATTGTCTAGTTTGAAAATTTTATTTAAATATAAATTATGTTAAAAATAAAAATCTAAAATGAACAATTATTTTAAAATAAAAAGAGTATGAAAATGTGAATGTGGCGGGATCATGAGTAACGGTTTTCGCTTATTACTGTCATACTAGTAAAACGAGTTTCTTGCCTCTTGTATATTACACCCAGTGTTTTAACTTTTATAGTAGCTTTTTAAAATATTCTTCTGTTTTTTTTTTTGGCACTCTGCCCTTAGAATTACAAGTTTATCGAGAGTAAATATTTTAATTTCAACGTTGAGAAACTTACATAATTCAAAAAAAGAAATGGTACTTTTATTTGTTCGGGTCAAAATATAATCTACTTAGATAAAATAACTCACGCATCAGAATAAGGATTGAAAATCCAGATCTTGCATGACATAAAAAGATTGCTAGCTAAATAAATTTAAAAATTAAGGAGAAACAACCGTGAAGTAACCAAAATGCATGTTACTACTACTTGATGATAATTGGCTTCTCCTCGGTGTCGCCATCGCCATCGGCTCCTTCACTAGTTTCGCCTGATTGAGAAGCAGGAAATCCTCTGAGAATAATAACTTTGAACACAACCCTCGTGTTGTTAGCTTCGATGAGCTCGAAAAAACAACAATCTCCGACTTTCAGCCCATTATCCACCACAAACTTCCTCCATCCAAAATTTTTTTTGCCTTGAAAAAGTTTCGGAGTAGTGGTGCGCCAGCGCTTGCCATGAGAGGTGAGGACAACTGGGGCCTTTGAAGATGGCAGTTCCGATGTAATTTTGGTCGGAATGTACTACAAAGAAATATTTAAGTCGGAGATTCATGATTTCATATTTCATCTTTACTGGGATGATATTAACAAAAGAAAATTAAGTAGTTGTTTTTTCCCCCCTCATAAGTAATGTTACTGGCAATGAAAGAAATTAAAACATGGAGAAAAGATTTTAATTACCACTTTACTATACTGGCCAACGTTAGTGTTTTTGAGAACTAAGTCAAAATAGGGCTTTGTCCCAGAGAGCGTATAGTGTTCAGTATCATCCGCGTCAACATTTGGTGCATCAGGAAGTTCTTCTTCCTCGTCTTCCTCGAGAGTTAAACGTTCTTGAAAATCAAGGATCTGATCCTTATAAAAACAAAAGAAGAAATATGATTAAAAACCTACACCGTTTTTTTCTTTTTCTTTGGAAGATGGAAGTACTAGTACCCTGTCCGGAAATGTTCTTTAAGGAGCAATTTACACAATAACAATTTTTTTAAACATTGAAAGTTCTAACAGATATTAATTAATCAATTGACACAAAACTCGACGGGAGGAGATTCTAACACATTCAGTCATGGCACTTATATTAATTCAAGAAGAGAATACAATTACACTGTTCTTTTCATACTCAAATCGTCCTATAAAATAAACATTTCATTTTATGCATCACAAATTAAAACTTTCCAAAATTCTAAAATCAGGCACTACAAAATGCAACAGCTACATGATTAATCGCAAATTATTGAGTTTTAACAATTATTAGAAAAAAAAAATGCTGCAACAAAATACAACGATATATATATAGAGAGAGAAGATTGTGCACCTCATCCTCGATCGTGGCATCAACACCACGAACCTCCTCATCATCGTCAATTGGTTGAAGCAAAGGATCAGACATTTTTTTGTAAGATTAAATAAAATGAAACAAGGAGCAAGTAAGAAAGAGGAGCTAGCCAAAAAGCTTCAATTCGTCTTGGTTTCAGTTTTGAAGTGTTTGGCTTTTGAGTATTTTGTTTTGCTAAGAAGTGTGAGATCAGCAAAGACAAACAAAAAAGTGAGACTTTTCACTTTCAGTGCGAGAATATATATATGTATGTATATATAAGAAGAAAAAACAAGAGGAGCGAAAAAGATGCAAATTTAATAAAGAATGAAGAGAAAGCGTTGGTCAATTCCAGTATGGAATAAAAAAGGCCAAGTATAGATATACAGAGATATTGACGCTAACGAAACTGGTTGTGGTTGGGACGTCGTCTTTATCATATATAGGTTAAGACATGTAAGGGTTCGTCTCAAAACATTTAATCAATTAATTGTTTCATTTATCGGATACTTACAATTTAACAAAGTAATTCTTGAACGACGATAGACACTGGCGATATGCAAAAACAAAGTTGTATTGATTTTGATCATCGTCTTGCGTTTGCACTTTTGTTTGTCTATTTACATTTTTTTTTTTGTATTAAAATAATTATATAATTTAAATTTTTATTTTTAGTTCAACAATCCTTTCGATTTGTAGGATACTGGTACTTAGGTTTGCCCGAGGGATAATGTTGTCATTGATATCGAGTCCATGAATATGCGACCCGTGACCTTTAGTCAATCACAGATATTCAGAGATTGGGGAGGGAAAGAATAAAGCAAAAGAACAGTGTTTAGTTTGAATTCCCATGCTCTAGACTCTAGAGTACTTGATGTAAACTTGATAGAGCCTGTTCAAAATACTCAAAACCCAAACAAGCTTGGTTATGATCATTTCCCGTGTGAAGCACTGTTATCTTTTTCAATGCTGTCCATGGTCAAAGAAATTTTAAAGTGTATTCTCTTGGAATAAAAATAGATTTTGTGAATATTAATTTCTCTCGCTCAAATTTAATCCGCACATTATAAAATTTGCCCGGCTCTTGTATCAAAGAAAATGGTGGTTGCTTCCTCCCTTGTAAAGGTCAAAGAAATTTTTTTTTCTATTTATTACGACATTAATTACATAGTTTCTTCAAGTAATCCTTGCAAAGAGTAAGACATACTGGAACAGTGATACGCACTTAATTAAAACGACAAATTTCAAACTACATAAAAAAGTTGCGCAACGCATAAAACATAATTCAGTACCACAAATAAGGTTATTTTTCTAAGACAGAGATAATACTATTCAATGACGATTGATTCTTCATGACTATCACCGTTGTTTTCGCCACGATGAGAAGGCAAACCTCTGAGAATAATGACTTTGAATTCAATCTCCGTGTTGCTAGCTTCCAAGAGCTCAAAAAAACAACAATCACCAACCTTCAAATCATTATCGATCACAAACTTCCTCCATCCAAACCTCTTGCCATTTCCTCCCGACGAAGTCGTGTTCCAACGGTTACCATGAGACAAAAGAACCACGGGCGCCTTCAAAGAAGCTAAATCGTCGGTAATTCTGGTCGGTATATACTATACATTGATTGAAAAGAAATAAGAAAATGTTACTCTTATATGTAGTGCGGAGTTGTAACTGAATAGAAATAAATAGTGATTACCTATAATATACATTTTCCTGTAAATTCCATGATAAATATTAGAGAACAAAAATCTTGATAAGGATGAAATTATTAGTTACCACTTGAAAAGCCGGACCAAGATGTACTTTTCTGAGAATGATATCGAAATAAGGATTTGAACCGGTGAGCGTCACATATCCAATATCATCTTCCATTTCAGCGGATTCAGTTTTATTAGCTTTAGGCATCAGCTCCTATTTCTTCCCTTCCTTGAGAATTGTAGAGGGATTCTTAATTTAAGAAGAAGAAGAAGAAGAAGAATAAGAAGAAGAAGAAGAAGAGAGATGGGCAGAGAGCTAAACTGTAAAAAAAAATGATGGACAGAGTTCAAATTAATTTGGGAAGTAGTTTATACACAGGAATCGGAAACTAAAGAGATAAAAAGTTTGTACTTATCGGGGGGAAAAAAGAGATAAAAATTAGGAACATAAAAAAAAACACACACACACACACACACAAATAAACAATAACAGATCTAGGCATCTAGCGAAGCAATCCAGTCCAACATCTTACAATTAAAATCTTTGACTTGTAAACTAAAAAAATCATTGACTAGTAAGAATCCTCTAATAAACTAGACCTCTTAAAGAAGTGAATTGGACAAATTACTTACTCTTGTTCTTATTATAAAATATCTTGATTTGTCAAAAATTTCATTTATTTTCATGTTTCTGCTGCTTCAGAATTCGAATAACATCGTCTACCTATTAAAAATACCAATTAATTACAGGTTTAATAAATTAAATAAAAGGCTTAAAGTGAAGAAAAATCAGTCAAAACATACAAGAACCGCGCAACAATCCTTTCAAGAATTCGAAATGTTACAACAAAATAAAAGATCAGAGAAGATGGCAAACCTCGACTGCACCAACGCCATCAACCTCTTCTTCATGAGCAGCTGGTTGACGCAAAGGGTCAGACAATTTTGGCAATGCTTAGTATATAATAGATATCTGATCAGTGATCTCACTGAAAAACAGAAAACATGAAAACATGGACGAATATTAGCAACTTGTACAAAATTATATAGCTTTTGGTTGTATGCAATAAAATTACAAAATTGAAAATATAAGTACTTTTAATGTTCTTAATTAGATCGCGGGTTAGGACCGAAGGCCAAATCTTGATAGATTACATTAGTGTTACGTTACTGGAAAATTTTCTTCATCATTAAAATAGTACAAAACTTAAAACTCAATGTGAACTATTTTTGTGGGACGGGCGTAGTATAATAATAAGGCCATCCAATTTTCTTTCCTTTTTTTCATTTTTCTTAAAAAATAAGGGCATCCATATGCAATAAACACACCAAATGAAGAAGAAGAAGAAGAAGAGGAAGCACAGATACCTTAAGTACACTTATTATAAAGGTGAAAATGAGTAGGAAAATATCAAAACAATATGCATAAAAAGTAGGAGAGTCGAAAGATGATCAGTTTGATGATCACCAAGAGCTTGTATTGTGTTTTGCTACTAGTGTGGCTATATAGTTATATACTTTTTTTTTCTAGGCCTAGAAATGTTTGTTTAGTTTTGATTTTCGATTTTAGAATCATGTCGAGAAAAAAATATTTTTCCTGTTAGTACTATAAGAAGAAAATTGGGAAGCTAAAAGATAGGTCAATTTTTTATAGGCTCAAACACAGAATCTCCGCGCGCGGATACGAGGGAATCGGATTCTGACTGTCTTGCATGGACGTGTCTTGCTTTTCGTTGTTTAGTCAATTGACAGTCATTGAGGAGATTCAAGGAGAAGAAGAGCCATGCTTCTCTTTTTTTTTTACCAAAAAGACTAGCTAGTAATTCCTTTTCATTTTCTTTTATTTTTCAATACAGGAAGTATAATAATATCATTGTAAAGCCATATAATTCTCAAATTAATCCTCATTCTCGGATAGATTTTTTTTTTTTTTGGGGGAAGAAATGTTTGTCTCCGAAAATTTTAATCATCAAGAATGCGTTGATTGTTTATATTTAAACCCTTCTCATAATCAGGGGCGGAGCCAAGCACCGAACACTAGGTGGGGTAAAAAGTATAGCGCTTATAAATCACTCTTTGTTCCACAAAAATAATCTGCATAATAAATTATGCATCTAATGAAAATCAAACCCTCTATTAAGAATTTTTCCCCCAAATCAAAGTTATTTTTGTAGTTTTTTGTTTATGCCCCTTGTCTTTTGAATTTTTATTGGAACAAAAATGAAGAATATTGACAAATTTAAATTAAATTTAGGGGTAAATTAAAGTAATGAGAAAAAATCCAGCTGGGCAATAGCCCCATCTCGGTTCTACTTGGCTCCGCCCTTGCTCATAATTAAAATGATGGGTTGCACGCAACTGTTTTTGCCTTGTTTGTATCAGCTAGGTCGCAAAAATAGAAACATATACGACCACGACTAATTAAAATTGGTGGAAAACCCTCATACGTTAGCTAGATTGCAAAATCTTTTGTAGTTCAATTGATCATTTTGTTTAACATTTTTGTCCACTTTAAAAAGTTTTGTTAATTTTGTAACAGAAACAACGAAGCGTAGTAACGTTGGGACTAGTTACACTATAACTCTTCTTTGACAATAGTGAGATCGATGTTTCCATAGGACTCCATTTGCCTGTGAACCAATTATTTGAGGTTATTGTAAATTTGTAAGGCCGTGTTATAGTTTTGATGTTCCTTTCCGTCTCATCGTCCGCCATGCATAAAGTATAAAGGAAAAGAAAATTGAGAAAGAGACAAATATGAGATGGAAAATAACCTGGACATGCATGACTTTTAAGAATGATGTGTCACTTAACCCGCTAATGAAATTGAATTTTTGTGACATTTTTTTATTGCATTTTCTATTACACATTCTAATATCTTCTTATAAATCTTATAGTTTTGTTAGTACATGTATCTTAAACATGTATAATGACGGTAGATAGTTTTCATTTTTTTTTCTGGTATCGATCTTATGTATATTATAAAAGTAATATTTCTTCTAGCCCGATTCAGTTGGATTTTAATTTTTATATCAAATTATACTAACAATCAAAAAAAAAAAAATCGTAACTGGATAATTATTTCAGGAAAGAGTGAGTACAATTTATTGAATCTTGTGACAATAAAAATCAAAATAAATATAGTCTAACTCGAAAGAAATGAAACCAATTTTAAAAAGATATTAATATGAAAACGATTGTAGATGACTCCAAAATTTTTGCAAATAACAGTATTTGCACAAAATTATTATTGTGCGACATGTAGTGTAGTAAAAGAGTGAATTGCAATTTATATATATTCCATCTATCCCAAATGAATTATGGAATGATTCGTATAATTTTGTAGTACAAAGAATGAAAATACCAATTGACACAATTATTTCGGAACATGGTACCTATTTTTCCGATCAGTTTGTTTTAAGATTATGCTCAACGTTTTACGTGATTTAATTGAAATATATTTATTGAATTCTTTAATTACAAGACCTAACCGGGAATCTTGTGGAGTTTTGGATACATCATATATTCGTCTAAATTTTAGGAAGGAAGGTAACTTTGAAGGATGACAGGATCTTCTTAGAGCTGAGAAGGGGGAGAAAATGCGAAACTTTAGCACTCCGAATACAATAGAAACATAATCCGAATTGTGGATCCCCGGTAAAAGCAACAAATTGTTTACTTTGCGGTTAAAGAAAACTTAATGAAAAGAAATTGAAGGCGAAAGCCATGCTTGGAAAATGCTTACTAAAGTGAAATGGTAGGTTTGGAAACCGGAATCAGACTGCACGGGTCCAGGATTTTTCTGGGCAGCTGCTCTGTTGAAACAGCAGAAATCTCGGCCATCTACCAATGCCTGGAGATAGCAGAACAACAAAGCGCGCAGTAATAAGCCTAGATAACGGCTCTATCTAGTTTTCACTTTCGGTAAGGAAGAAAATTTGCGACTATGTATCAGCTTCCTGCTTTACAACCAAAATACTATTTCCCTGAAACATATGTATGCTCAGCTTTCAACGATGACCTAATCTTACAATTGCTTGTAAGCTACAATATGTTTGGACGGCTTTAAACTACATAACAAATCACGGGAAACCTAAAGGTGCAGTTATCTTCCTCTGAAAATGTAAAGGGCTACATAACAATATGACATCTTTAATAATAGAGCCACTCCAGTTGATGATTAAAAAAGTTAAACCAACAGGCTCCTATTCAAATGTCAGTCTTCTCTAATAAAAACCTCCACAGGGTACACCTTCATGGAGCTATGCCTCATGTGGTTTGAAGATCCAGCCACCTTCAATCCTTCATCAAGTATTCAAATTTGAAGGCTCCATTGCCAAGTCTAGGTTGTACATGCCCTGTAAGCCAAGGATTGCATTCTGACAAGATACATGTCTCTCATTTTCCATACATCTTGAGCGATTTTCTCGCTTATTTTACTAACCCAATTTTCCATACATTTTGAAACCATCCACATTGTACCTGCTCGCTCATTCAGCTCAAGTCCTCCGTTGATTACAATAGCATGGATCTGTTGGCCACGACATCCCCAATCGTTCATTTCAGAATAGAAAATGCACTACGATTCGTTATTCACACTTTCCTTCACCATGTCCTAGAACACAGTAACTGCCTGAACTTGTCGTTTTAATGCAAATCGCCTTGTTCTGGTTCAGTCCGAACCTTATGCACATCCTAGTTTACCATAAAATCTCATCAAAGATTGAATTAAAACGGGATGTTGGCCATGACCCATCTTTACCAGCCAACAATGTACTTGTATTCCGAGGTCCAAGTCCATTGTTTTGGCACAAGCCTTAAGAACGCACACTGCGATCACACAAACTGCATTATTATTATCCAAATCACCACATTCAACTTTGCCTCTATTCCAGTACAACATCTGAACAAACACATCTACAACCTTTTCATAATCGCCATTCTTGAAGCACCCAAACATAACGGCAGCCCAAGTGGTCACACTCCTCACGGACATTTTATCAAACAGCTTCTCCGCATATTCCATACAGCCGCAGGATCCATACATCAACAACAAACGATTAAAAATTGACAAGGATGGACGAAGACTACTAGTACTGAGATGATTGTGGAGCTCTATTGCCTGTAAAGGGTCACGAGTATTTGTACATTCTTCAATGAGAGAAAGGTAAAAGTCCCGAGTTATGGGGATTTGAAGGACGTCCCATAAGCGCAAAATCTCTGTGATGGAACATCTCCTGGGTTTTGCAGGGGTTATGGGATTTTGTGGTTTCCATTTGGGTCTCTGGAGAGGAAGCTGGATTTGAACTGGAGAATTGGAGGGAGCCGAAGAAGAGGAAAGTGTTACAGAATTTTTACCGATTGAATTACTACTTTGCAGAGGATAAAATATTTGTGGATGAGGTAATTTGATACTCATGATTCGCAGGCGGGATAAGATGAAATGTCTAGGGGAAAGAAGAATTTGCAAGTCGTATCCAATTTTAGGACAATCGATCAACTATGTGGTTCATTCACATTCAGTCATTCTGCATTACCGCAGTACAGTTTTGTAGCTATCATTTTATACTGCCCAACTGCAAAAGCAATGAGATTAGCCTTATTAATGATCAACTGATTGAAGGACGTCTTTAAATTTTTACGAGTCAATATGTATTGTTGGTATATTTCTTGGACTTTGTATGCTATAGTACTAACTCATTATGCGACAATGTTTAGTATCAATGTTCAAAGTAAAAATCTTGAAACAAACACAACCATTTTGTTTTGAGTATATGGATGTAGTATTTGGTTTTCAGCCTCATATACTCGTGATTTTGCTTTGGTTTTGTATCTTCTGATCCAATTATGAGTTGGTTTTCAGCCTCATACGCTTGTGAGTTGTGATTTTGCTTTGGTTTTGTACCTTCTGATCCAATTATGATTTTTAACTAGTTCCTTTTCTATAATACTCATTTCAATACTTACGGGCATACAAAGGCTTCTCTATGGTAGAAAAGGTTGCTTCTTTCACTTTAACTCCCAGTTCCCAAACAGAATTAGTTATATATATGTACACCGTCCAGTACTACCAAATACGAAGCCGCTCGATCTCAAAAAAACTTCAACATGCTGCCAGAGTAGGAAAATTTCCCCAAAACAAAGCTGTCCACTACCAATTCAAAGTGTTTTGAACAAGTTGTCATGCTGATCTTGCCAAGGACTACTCTGATCCTGCCACGGATTGGATGGAAGTACCTTCTTGAACTTGATTTCTTGCTGCATTGGCATCAAATCTCTCCTCCAAACATTATCAAGACTGTCTTCCTCATAAGCAACACAATTAGTCCAGATACTGGAAACTTCAACCCAATCCTCATATACAATCTCCTCTGCAGCTTCATTTGACATGCTTTACCTGTTAAGCAGATACGATTAAATGGCAAGTCCCAACAGATGATTCACCTTTACCCCAGTGTCATCATATCCAAGACAACAAGGATTCCATAAATGAGACGAGGTTGAGGTTTTTCCTGATTACTCGATCTCCACAGAGATATCTTCCTTCTCTTTCTTCCATACTCCGGATCTGTTCAGATATCACATGGGTGAGGCAGTCTATTTATAAATTGTTCTTCCTCACCATCATTGAGTTGCTCAAGTGCGGCTCCATTTTGTACAGATGATATCACATCCAAATCATCCTCTTGTTGTTCTAAGGTTTCTTGCTGGTGCGATGGTGAGTCACTTCGTGATGAGTACTTTATTGATTGAAGGAAGTTGAAGTAAGCATATTTGATATCGAATCGCATGTCATACCCTGCAAACAATAGCTAAGTGTTTGTTAAACTCTACATGAAGATAGTGCAGGTATTAACTTGTTAAATCAAGTCCGGAACATAAGGTTTTTTAATTGGTCTTACAATAATTAACTGCCACAGTAAGGCCCCTGCTGTCTGGGCGCTGACTAACATGATGAAACCACATACTTGGCCTGCATGAATCACTTTAGTTAGCATTTTCGCTGCCAGACATAGAATACACTAGTAGCTATGTAATGTTGAGGTTAAAAAATTAAAATCCATACCAGTAGTATCCTCTGGTTTCCCTACTTTCCTATACTTCTAAGGTCTGGCAACTGTGCATTACGCACAGTTGTTCAAGCCTTTCATCTCTCTTTTAAGTGTTAACTCCAATTTGGTTTTGAATGATCTAAATTCTATACACTGTGGATTGAAAACCACATCTAACCTCAACATAATTTCGACTGAACTATCAAACTGACATAAATTGATAGAGAATGATGGTGGGCACAAAATGCATGAAGTGGCACTTTATTATGGATGACATAACATTCTAGAGCTAAAACATCCCTCTTACTCATAGCACGCTTAACAGATTATGAGTTTTGAGGACTCAAAAACAGTTACCTAAATTCAGCTAAATGAACATTCCTCTTCAAAAGACAAAATTCATAAGCCCCTTTCCGTTCATCACCAGAAATCAGCCATCAATCAGCTGCCCTTTTCACAACTTAATCACCATTCCAACATCAATTCCCTCACCTCAATGTTATCACCTCATCTAATTTCATTCGATCAACAAGCATACCCACTGCTTTCATGAGACAATTTCCAGATGCATTTTCCCAAGAAAATTCACCTTAGTTCAGAATAAGAATCTTGGGAACACAGAAAGCCACCTCCAATATTAAATCAAGGTTCAAAATTCAAAGGGCTTTTGATTGGCCATTAACTGTGTTTAGAGGACATTAGCAGCAACGTAGCAGCCTACCATTTGTCACTTAAGTTATGGCTGTACTAATACCAGAAAAAGTGTTCAACACATCCTCTGGAAGTCTAAACTACAACCAGAGAAGTCCTCTTATAGGAGAATCCTATGCAAATGAGAAAACTTTACTTTAAAAGGCTCAAAAACAAGATTACGTCTACACCAATCCGATCATCTTCCTTATCAAAAAGCATTTAAACTCTTCTTCTTGAGTCTATTTCCTGAAGAGTATTAATGATTTGGGTTGTTAGTAGAAGTTTCTTTCCCTTTCTGTTATTGTTTTGTGGACTAAGGCAAGATTGATATTTTGTGCGGAAAAATTAGCAGAATTGGTGAAATGTTTTCGTTTTTTTTAGAAAACCATAAATTTCAGTATTTTTGTGCTTACAGAAATTCTCATAATTAGAACCGAAGAAATGCCCACAGTGATTAGAGAGAATGAAATAGGGAAAAGAGAAAAAGTTTTGACAGTCAAGAGAAGTGCAGTAGATAGCATGGGTGTACATTATGCACACAGAAAATTCACCTTAGTTCAGAATAAGAACCTCCAATATTAAATCAAGGTTCAAAGGGCTTTTAATTGGCCATTTAACTGTGTTTAGAGGACATTATCAGCAGCCTAGCAGCCTACCATTATCGCTTAAGTAAAGTTATGGCTGTACTAATAGCAGAAAAAGTGTTCAACACATCCTCTGAACTACAGCCAGGAAAGTCCTCTTACTAGGAGAATCCAATGCAAATGAGAAATTTTACTTTAAAAGGCTCAAAACCACAACTTATGTCTACACTAACCCGATCATCTTCCTTATCAAAAAGGATTTAAACTCTTCTTCTTGAGTCTATTTCCTGAAGCGTATTAATGATTTGCATTGTTAATAGAAGTTTCTTTCCCTTTCTGTTATTGATTCGTGGACTAAGGCAAGATTGATATTTTGTGTGGACAAATTAGCAGAATTGTAGAATGTTTTCTTTTTTCTTAGAAAACCATAAATTTCAGAATTTTTGTGCTTACAGAAATTCACATAATTGGAACCGAAGAAACCCCACAGTGATTAGAGAGAATGAAAATGGGAAAAGAGAAAAAGTTTTGACAGTCAAGAGAAGTACAGCAGGTAGCATGGGTGTAAATTATGCACCCGAAATCACCTGTCTAATTGACAATTTGGGCTCATAATGAACTCACACAAAACATGTCCAAATTTCAGAAGAAAGAAAAGTGTCCTTCCCCCAATTAATTAAGGAATCAGAAAATGAAGTAGGTTTGCCTGTTCGGTCTAGTGGTTCTTTTTCCTAACTTAAGGCGGATACTAATTCAGAGGAAATTATCAATACATGTGAAGTGCATAAGCTGTAGCAAATAAATTGCACTTGAAGACAAATGCATATCATTATCCAAACATATTTTGTAGTTTGAAACCTAGTCTCAAACCCTTGCAAAGTAATCATAAGTTTCCAATGTAAAGATAGAATATGCAAGCTCATCTTCTCACAAATCCACCCCCCTCCCCAAGCTCACCCGGCCCAAACAAAAGAAACAAAAAACCCATACACATTCATAACCACTTGCCAGTATACAATTTATCAATTTATCAATTAAGCAGGACCCTTTCAGACCACTACATAGACCTTCTTTACGTACTTTATAACGACTTCAAGGCAAACTTGCAAGTGAGATGCAGATGCAATGAAGCCTGACTTAAGATTTAGGAAAGATTTTTTTTCACAGAGAACATCAGTAAAGTGGGGGAACAAAAAGAAGATACATACTTAGCGAAGTGGTCTATCAAAGCACATTGACAAATCACCTAGAAACGCTAATATAACACCATAAGCAACATATCCATTTATAAAATTGCACATATGTGATTAAGAAAGCCATTCCACTAAATGACATTCATTTACATGGGAACACTACATGAACACCATAAGCAACATATAGTTTTTTAAATTTCACATGTTTGGTTAAAAGACCGCCCAATGCAGGCTTCCACTAAATGGGATTCATTTACATGTAGTAAACCTATTACTCACTACAGAACAAAGAAAACTTAACAAGGCACATTCTTTCATTATTAGCCCACACAAACAATCTGAGCCCTAACTAGTGCATTAATACTATTTTTAGTCAAATATTAGAACTTTGAGATTTTAAATGAACCAACAGTAGCAACATCTCCCAATAAAGTCACCCAAAAGTAATCTTAAGGCAAAACCATTATAAGATGCTTGTATAAATCGCATTCTCATTTATCATGCAGCTGACAATGCCATAATCAGAATATTGGAACTATAACATAATGAAACACAGCCAATCGAAAGTAAACTAAAAACATCCATATCTGACAAAAGAAAAGAATTTGGAGCATATGGAAATGATTCATGGACACCACAAGAGATGCAACTAAAACAAATGTGGGGGAAAAATATGAAACACTTACAAATAGAGTACTTGTCCAGCCTTAACTGTAACTTCAAATGGCTTTGGGCCTTTATAATACAGGGGAAACCGAGACATATCCCTCCCCTTCTCTTCAAAGGATGGGTAAGGGTCAACACTACACCAAGGAACATACCGCTTTGGTTCCTTGAGTTCCAACTTAAAATCCCCAGTATCCTATAAGTAAACAACACTCGTACTCAGGCAACAAACAAGGTACCAAGCACATTCGTATTATAAAAACTATATAAAGCAAACCCTGTTGCAATTTTCAACTAGTATCCGTTATCATAATGTCAGATTCCTGCACAAGTAACAATCATGTACATGTATTTTCATCAACTTAACAAGACATAAATTATAACTAACAATAAACTGAGTGGCATTTGGGGCAATCTAGCAAAAACTCCTTTTATTTTAATGCATTCCACATATAAGAACTCACCCTGGAATAATGATACTGAGCAGATGGATATTCTCGAATATACATCCTGTGAACATCAGTTGGAGGAAGTAGCACAAAGTGCTTCTCTCCACTAATTACAGCATAAAGATTCTCATAATGATCTTTATGGAATGAAGTCACAGAGAATTCATTACCAATCCAAAGATTCACAGCCTCAGGAAGACATCCAAGCGCCTCGGATGCCCAGGGGATATGATCATCGCAATCCTGACTCAAATCAAAGTACTCATTCCTGAAGCAATCATTCTGTTCTTGCAAATAAGCCACACAATTAGAGCCCTTTCCACTACAGGTATCAGACTGAGAAACCATTTCAAGGGCAACTGGGAAAGGCATTTTCTCAACATGGGCAGAGGCGAAAACTAGAGATGATGAGTTGTCCCGGTGAGGGGTCAACGAATCGGCCCGGCCGTTTGGGGTAAGATGGACGGAAACAGTGGAGGAAGAGAGGGTTTTTTTGAGGTAATGAGTTGAGGACCACCGGGAAAGGGCTGGCCAGTGGTTGACGGAGTTGGAGATGAGGCAAGGTTTGTTTGGGGAGATATAATCACGGAGGAATTGCAGAGGAGTGGGTGGTGAAGTCAGGTGGTCGATTTGGTAGGTGGTGGAGCCAAGGCTGAGCTCTCTTACTTCTTCCCACAGGTTTTCTATTGCTAATTTGGTGGCGGTGGACATGGCTTCCGGACACATACGGTGGTCGGCGGAGGCTTTTGTAGCACAATGCGTAAATATGAATGAGTTAGCCGCGGTTATACATTTTTTGAATTAATTATTATCCTAGAAATTAAATGGACATTACTTTGGGCAGTTCAGAAATTACTCACCTGCAGTACATTTTTGACAATTTTACTCCTGAATCCTTTCAATTCCCCCTTTCTTCTTCTCTTTCCTCATTTCTTCTTTCTATTTTTCTCCTTCCCCAACTTCATCTTCTTCTTCCTTTTTATCAAATTTTAAATCAAGATCTACTACAAATCGAAGTTTAAAAAAATGGCGAAATAAGACACAACAACGGGAAGGAGCACCATCGATGCCGGTAAATTGTTTTTTTACCAAATCTTATTTAAAAATAATTTTTTTTTAAAAAAAAAAATTGTCTGTCTAGGCTAGCCGACCCGACTATCGGTCAGCCCGGGAACCTTGGCCGGTGAGAAATCCGGCCAAGGGAAGAAGATTGGCCAGGTCAGAGACCAGCCAATCCTAGAATAGTGAGCGACTCCATGGCCCGTCACTATTCTAGGATTGGCCGGTTTCTGACCTGGCCAATCTCCCACATTTGGCCGAATTTCTCACCGGCCAAGGTTCCCGGGCTGACCGGTAGTCGGATTGGCCAGCCTCGGCAGTTTTTTTTTTCAAATTTTTTTGTGATTTTTTTTTTGTTGTAATTCTTTTGTTATAATAATTTAGTTAAATTTATTTATAATTAATGTAATTAGTTGTCTTATTGTTTGATTAAATTAGTTAAATTTATTTATAATTAATGTAATCAGTTGTTGAATGTTGTGTTATTATGTTTTATATGTCATTTAATTTTTTTTGTGCATTAATAACATGCTTAATTTAATTTATTAAGTATAATTTGTTTAATTTATATTTATATGGTATTTAGTTAGTATTAATTTATAGACTTTAGTAATTATTGTTTACGTAAATGAATTAGTTATTTTGTTATGTATTGCATTTTTTTAAATGTGATATATTTCATTTACAGAATTATGGTGGTGACGGTGTTAATTATAGTCATCATTTCAATACTAACATAAGATTCGCAATTATTGAGAAAGCTGTGTTATGGGCAAAAAAGACTGCGATATCTCTTCATTTTACAGTAGTTAAGGCGTCGAAGACAGATGAGACTAAGAAATTATTGCGATGTCCAAAGGGTGTTCCGCCTAGAGATACAGAGAATTGGGTGCGAGAAACAAAGGCGCAGTATTGTGGATGCTTGTTCCGTCTTCTAGCCCAAATTAGCCCAGGTGAATATACTTTTGGGATTCATTCATGTCCGAGTCTTAATGGTATGCATAGCCACCCGTTTGGCAGTTTCGAGCAGGGACAGATGCAAATGAGCGGTCTTAGTGATAAATCGAAGGCGATTGTTGACGAGTTGACTGCCATTAATGTAAAACCGTCTGCAATGTTGCGGGGGATTCAGCAGAAATGTCCGGACGAACACGTTGTGATCAAACAGATTTACAACTATAAGAGTAGGATGCATGTGGAAAAGAGGAAGGGTAAAACATTGGTGGATCAGTTCTTTGACATTGCTTAGAAACACAAGTATGTGATTACTATGGCTGATGAAAACGGTGTGTTGACTCATATTTTCTGTGCACATCCAGTATCTGCATGGATACTACTTATAGAATAAACATGTATAATATGCCGCTGTTACAAATTATTGGGATGACTCCAAACAACAATAATTTTCTGATTGGATTCGTAATTATGAAGGATGAGAAGAAGAGTAGTTATACTTGGGCATGTCAGCAGCTTCGGAATTTGATTGGATGGGAGGTGAACCCATGTGCCATAGTGACAGACAGGGAGTTAGGGCTGGCAGAACCAATCAGTTTGATATTTCCAGATTCTGGACATCTTCTGTGCGTGTGGTACATCAACTAATGTGTTTTTGAAACAGTATGACGGCATTTTAGAAAGGAATTCGCGAACTGGTGGAAGAAGGAGATGTTCGATCCGATACTGAAAGCTCCTACTGATTACCTTCATGAAATGGCTGTGATTAATATGTCGTACTACAAGTACCCAAAGGCTGATACTTATACAAAGTTGGTGGACTATGTCAAGAATACTTGGTTAGTTCATAAGGAGAAGTGGGCTCGTGCGTGGACAAATGGGGTGACACACCTTGGAAACGCAAGTAACTGTAGGATGGAGAGGGCCCATAGTTCCATTAAGAGGTTTCTTGACTCGTCAACCAGTCACCTAGTTATAATATGGACCGGAATCCACGCAGCGATCGAGTATTAGTTAACTTATATCAAGTACGTAATTCGTTCGTTGTTTAATTTTGTTTTTAATACTTAATTACCAATATTCTTATATTAACAGTGAGGAATTTAAAATGTAGGTTCCGTCTAACCGAATCAGAACGCTGTTCGAGGAGAGAGCACCTTCAGTTTCCCTATGACCGTCTAGCTAGACGTGTCTCACATTACTGTTTGGACATTCTTCAAAGTGAGTATACTTGCATGCAGCAATTGGGTGAGGATGATGTTTGTGGTTGTGTGTTGAGAATGACTCATGAAATCCCCTGTGCATGTGAGCTTAAACAGAAAAGGGAATTGTAGGTGCCCATTATAGTTGCCGACCTTCACCTTTTTTGGAGCAGACTTAATTTTACAAGTGCGACACCTGATTCGGCCCCAAGTGATGATGCTCAACCTTTTGTGTCAGAGGAACATACGATTTTTACAGAGCTTTCCCTTAAGGCGTTCAATGAGAGGCATGAATTTTTGAACTGCATCAATGAGTTTCTGCACCATGAGACGGAAGAAGAGGAACACCATGAGCAGATGAGTTTCGAGGAACAAGAGCAACAGCATGATCAGATGAGTTTCGAGGAACCTACAGTGAAAACGAGTGTTAAAGGACGCCCGAAAGCGAATATCCTGCGGAAACAGTGTTATTAGGAGAAGTATACTATTGGTTCAGGGAGATCTCGCATGAGCACATCCTCGTCTACATACGATGATAGTCGTAAGAATGTTTTGAATTTTTTTTTTTAATGTCACATTTTATTTTTAAACATTTAAAATGACAATTACATAACGTGAATTTTGTTTTTTTTTAGGTGAGCAAGGAGGTTGGAGGACGGATTTTCATTCATATTAGTTTCGACAATCTATTCCATCTTTTATGATTCCCTTCATTCGGAGGTACCTTGATGTGAGGGCAGATGGGAACTGTGGGTTTCGGTGTGTGGCAGAGTATGTTCGCAGTTCAGAAGAGGAATGGCCATGGGTACGAACAAGAATTATTCAAGATCTTATTACATGGCCTGATTTATGGGATGCTCCGTATTACTACGAAAGGGAACAAAACATATGACGGTTAAGGTGGCTGGTAGGTGGATGCGATCAGAGGCATTAGATGGAATGCATGCAAGACTTGTACGCCATTGCTACTATTTGGAATGCTGCAGGTTTTCTATACGGTCTTAGGCCATCATTAGCCGGGGATCTGGGTTATTATTGTACGACAGTGTTGCCCATTACTGATCATGGAGAGGCCAGCAGACCAACAACTCGTGAGATTGTGCTTGTTCACCTCGGCGGTGTAGATCATTACATTTGTGTTGATTTCAATAGTGATTTTCGTGTACCTCTTATACATCCTCATTGGTTTAGGTGGCGTGACAACAATATTGTAGGCTGGGAAGATGAGTATCATTCTAGGATAGAAGAGTGGAATAGACATCTGGATCTACTTAGTAGTTGCATAACATTTATTTAAATTGTTATAACTAGTTATTTAAATTTAAAAAGTTTCATTGCAAATTTTTTCAAACATTTAAATACATAACATAACATTCTTAAGTTGGAAACAAATCCAAGAAGTTAGACATAACGTAACATTCTGAAATTGAGCAAACAAATCCAATAAGTAAACATAACATCCGATAAGTAACTCATCTATGTCTCTGGCTCAATCGGAATTCATTTTGAAATTGAGCAAATAATGCCTCGTGCTCCTTTACTCTCTCTGCATCAATTTCGCGGAATGTGGAAAGTGCATTTTTATAAAGCCCAGACAATCAGTTGACCCACTGCAAAAAAAAAAGTACCGCCATTAAAAAAATTACACAATTAATAATATATTATATAAACATTTCAATAAATGGTTATGCAATAAAGACTTACGTGAGATGTGGTTCTAACTCCACCTGTAGTAGTGGCCTCTAAAACCAACAAAGGATGCGAATATTTAAAGTACCACTGGAGGTAATTAGGAGCGCATGCAGTCTGATCATGATCACTCTGCTTAAAAAAACTCTACATCCAGCCCGGAACAGAATGAGAATTGCATCCAAGCATCTAACGCCTCAGTGGCCCTCCATGAAACCTTGTAGGAGTGGTGATTACCACTTCAAAACGCACTAATGGGATGAGGAATGGGTGGAGGGATGACTTGAATGTACCCAATCTGGCGCAATACTTGATTAGGCAAGTATGGCTCAATAATATCGCGGTACTATATCCAGCCACTGTATATGGTCCTCGGATCATCGCAAACAGGCTCGGGACCATAAGGCAACCATTCAACCTACACAAAAGATATAAGATAAGTTAACAACATTATTTTGCCACACAATTATAAATTAAAACGTGGGAAAAGTGACATACATCAGTGGGTATCAGCTTGTCGATCTGGAGGCGAAGCTTCCTCAGATGTTCTACATTGTTATCAGGAATTGGGATGCATACCATCCAGCTCGGGGTTGTCCAGGAGTCTAAGTGAAAAGTGGTCTAAAACATGGAAAGTACACATATATCCATGACTGAAGTAGTGTGTAGCAACAAGACATTGAGGTATTTTGCAATTTGGTGGACACGCCTAGCTGACGGTAAAGATAGGCTAGAGTAGTAGACCCCCAAAAAATATTGTCACGGGTGACTAGGCCATCAATAAACTTGGAGAGGATTGCCGCTCTAATCCGAGTACCACTCCTGTTGGTAAACAACGTATTTCCTAACATGATCCATAACCAGGCGATCACCTCATCTAAACCAGATGCTGCTGCTCGGCCTGCCTTCATGA